CTAATACATGGGCCCAATTTTGTTTTCTGTGGGGAGGTGCACCATTGGCTACCTCGGCCAGCCTTCTCCGGAAAAAAAATTACACCCTATTTATTGGGGTGCGTCGCATCACGTGTGTGTTCATCCTTACACGTGCGTTATGCTCCGCACGTGCGGAGCTCGCGTGCACGCGATACGGCGCAGGTATGGGTTGGAGTATAGGGGGAGTATAGGGGTGATATAGGGGATATTGGGGGGTTTAATAAGGGTGTTGGGGGCGGTTCGGGAGTGTGGGGTTGGTGTATGCGGGGATTGGGGGCCGCTATGGGGGTGTGGGTGGGGTCATTAGGGGTTCTGGATACCAAAAACAAAAACAAAAACAAAAAAAAAGTGCGGGGTGCCGATGTCCCCCGGCTGGTAGGTGCCGACTAGCCGATCGGTCGGCGGGTCGGCAGCCGACCAGTCAAGGGTCGCCGACGGTTGGCTTGTGCAACACTGCCCTCCGCTCTCATATTTTTCCAAGTTCCTTCAGACTCCTTCTGGAATTTAGCCTATCTCATGATGTTCTTTGTCTAATAGGCTAGAAATTGCTCATGATCCTATTCTTAGCCGAAGTCGGGTAATGACCCCAGTCTCTCGAGTTTTTTCCGTATATGTTCTCCAAATGCTCCTAATGGGACGCTGGGCCCGGTTCCCAGCACGTGTGGCTCCCCACGAATAGATTGGAGCATTGTCCTTTAAAAAAAAAGGAGGATAGGATAGGGATAGGATAGGATTGGGATTAGGATGGGATGGGATGGGATGGGATGGGATTAGGACAGGACGGGAGAGGAGAGGAGAGGAGGGGAGAGAAGAGGAAAGGAGGGAAGAGGAGAGGAGAGGAGGGTCAGGGCCGGGCACGGCAGGGATGGGATTGGATGGGGATTGGGATGGGATTGGGATGGGATTGGGATAGGGCAGGGAGAGGCGGTTAATGGAGACCCAAAATTTCAGCGTGTTTTTAATGCTATATATAAGAAAACCAGAAGCCATTTTTAACCAAAAATTGCATCATTCCATAGAGTGCACACCATATTAACAAACCATTAGAAAAAAAACGAAAAAATAAAATAAAAACAGGGTGAAACAGTAAGGCAAAAGGGCACTTGAATGACATTTTGGATTCAGCAAATTTTCAGAATTTTCCGCGTTTTTGGAAATGGTCTTATCAGAGGAAATTCCAATGCTCCAAATGAGACCAAATTTGGTACACAACAACCTTGAAGTAAGACAAAAACAGGCAAAAAAAAAAAAAAAAAAAAAAACATAAAATTTCACCCCCAAAG